TAGCAGTGCTTCTATGAGTGACCCTGTGACACAGGGGTCTCTCCAAGACAGTGCTGTAAACTATGGTAGAACAATGATGTTTTGGCTCCTTCTGTCCTGTGTGACCAAGACAGTGCTGTAAACTATGGTAGAACAATGTTTTGGCTCCTTCTGTCCTGTGTGATGCAAAACCTTTTGGGAAATGATAAGCAAGAGCAGTGGAAACTAAGTTTTCAAAGCAGGAGCAGAGAGAGTGCACTTCCATGGAAAAGCAAGTTTTCTGGTGATGTTTTTAAATCTAAACAAAGCTGCATGGTATTCTGGATCATTTTTAGAAAATTGGTATGAGAATTTCAAAGGAAAGTAGGGGCACTGATAATCCTCTGCCTAGCCTGAAAGCCAGTGTGAAAATGCCTTAAATTAGAGCAAACCAGTACAAATGCAAATTCTGTATTGGTAAACCACAGACTGCACCTCTAGCTCTTCTGCCTCCCTTGGGAACCTGTGCTGTGGTTTAGGTGTTCCATGCTCACTTGGCTCAGACCAGGTTTTTGCCTTGTAGTTTGGCTGTTGGGCTGTCATTCATCCAAGTATTTCACTGATTTTGTCTCTTATCGTAGAATGTTCAGAGGACAGGCAGATTTTGCAGCACTATGGATTTAAGGATGCATTGCCTCCCTTGCACTGCAGCGAAGCCAGACTGTGAAGCCAGTGGGGTTTGGTACCCAAGACTTGGCTCAGGGAATGTCTTAGTCAAACGTTGTTTTGCATTTGTGAACCAGGTCATCTGCTTTGAAAGGTGACCAGGCTGATGGAGACAGCACTGCATGACAGGCAGAGTCCTGAGGCCAGAAAGCAGAGAAGAGGAAATGCAGGGAGTGAGATGGGAGGCTGCACGTGGCTTTGTGCTGGGCACACAGCATTCACAGCTCACCCACTCAGTAAGTGCCTAAGACATTTGACTAATTTGACATGGAAGCACTAATAAAATAAAAAGCTTCTCCAATTAGTGCATGCTCTCTATTATTTCTGACTTGTGTTCTGACCCAGTCCCTTCCCTACTCCTAATTGCCCATGCTGCACTAAGTGATATTGCCTTCCACACATTCTTATGAGCTGCGGTCTCCTGCAAGAGAAGAGATTTGTGAGTAGCAGCCTCCATGACTGACTTGAAATTACACTGTTGTTTCAGCTGGTCAAACTGAGTATTTAAAAACTATGGGATAGCTACAGAGATAGACTTTAGAGGGAGGGAGGAATCACCTCCTAGAACAGTGGGCCTAATTCTCAGCTGGTCATCCTTGCGTATCTATCATGCTTGCTTCAAAATCCTTCATAGCAGCAATGGATTTTGTTTGGGGTTGTGTTTTGGTTTCCTTCAGGCTGGGTATAAGCCTTGGCAGAGAAAGGAGTGTTGACATCAGCCAAATAGTTCATTATTCCACCATGCCTTTGGGACTGAGAAAATGCTGAAGTAAAACTACTGTGCATGCTGAAACAAAATGCAGTGTTTTTTTTCTGTTTCTTTAGTTCTCTATTTCCAAATACCAAGTCTTCTGTCTCTGGAAGGACATTGAACCTTTCAAGGTTCAAGCTGGATATGAAGCATGTAGTGAAGATCTCTTTTCTTTCTCAAGGAAAAGAATAACCACAAAATCTTTTCCCATTAGTATTCCTTTCTTACTGGTTTAACCCCTATATGGTGCAAATAATGCATTTTCAATTTAGCTTTTAGTTTAAGGAAGTACATAGGCTGAGTAGTGGAACAGGTTATCCCTCAATAAGGCACAGAGCCAAAAGTAATTCTAAATCTCCCTTAATGAACTGGTAGAGGTTCTGCTTTGCACTCCTGAAATATCTGCTGGCTTTTCAGCACTGTTCCTATGGGACCCAGCAAAGAAAGGCTTCTGGTGGAACACAGCAGAGCACCAGATGCACAAAGAGGTTTGATGGCCAGAACAACCCCAGAACTCAAGGCAGCTGGTCAGAAGCCAGTGGTGCAGGCACTGCAGAGATGGGCAGCCTGCATGTGCAGACAGCTCAGCTGTTTTGTTACAGTTCTTTGTGCATCCCCTTCTCATTTTGAGAAATTGGGCAATATTTGGAACATGCATCACAGGGATGCTGCATCTCCAGCATCCAAGACTGTGGTACACAGGTGGCACCATCAAATAATGCTGCTTGTAACATATCAGCACAGCTTCTGCTACGTAGTGCAGGGGTTTCAGTAAAGAGTGGCTTTTGACAAACCTGTGTGGCACTGAGTTCAAAAACTATTTTTAAAGTCTTATAAATGCTTTTATGGGCTCTTTTAAATGTTGTCTGAGCTATGTAGGAAAATGTCATCGTTTATCCCATAACTAACAGCAATATTTAGTTTAATGATGGCTATAAAACAAGTGCAACAAAGAGAAAACTGTTCTGAACTTTCTTGACACTGTATTCAGCAAATACTTGCTCTTTACCTGACATGCCATCATTTACTCCCTCAGCCCTCAGAGAACAGCATGATAGCTGAACTATCGACACAGTAGAAGAAATCATAGACAAGGAAAGTAAACTGTGATATTTTGAAATTAATGATGTAGTTCACTTGATGCACTGCATGCCTAATAATGAAAAATCTAGAGGGAAGAGCTTGCTTAATGAAATTTTGAAAATCTCTGCATTTCAGTCACAGACAGTGGGATGCCATTTGTGTGTGTATAAGGATATGCCTTATATGATCTGATGTGGTAAGTTTGTGCAGACAGTACTTTACACATACATCAAATGCTTAACTTAATAGAAATGTCCCTTTTCACTGCCTCTCTGGGTTTGGGCTCGTGTATGTTTGTGTGTGCATATGCATGCATTCAGAGGGGCTGGGAACAGGTACCCTTTTTCATTAAGTAAGTGACATTTTCATGCTGGTACAGCATCTATCTATCTATCTTCTTTCTGGCAAAGCTGTGTGCCTTTCAGTCAGCATCTGACTAAAGATCAATGAGAGAAAGCTTTTTGAAGGTGCTTTCAGGTCCTGCGGCAAGGGAGATGATCAGAAAGCTGCCATAAGCTTCGGACCCACTTGACAAATGAGGAACTATTTTGGTGCTCTGTAAACTGCTGTCACATCAGTTAGAAACACTAATTAGAACTACTTTGCTGTTGAAAGTGTCCAGTGCATTAAATACCACTTCTGCTTATTGCAATTAGCTTATCCATTGACTTACACTTTATACCACAAGACTATCAAAGATGGAAATGCATAAGGGATTGTTTAATAATTTATGAGGGAAATTAGAACTGAATGGCAAATAGCTTTTGCCTGCTACCCTTTGACCTTTCATTCCTTGCAGAGCATGAAACTCACATGTGAAATGTGCTCATCCTTGGTTTTTTCTAGCTGGAGAAGAGTCAACAAACCAGGATGCACAAATAAGCAAGTATCAGATTGTGTTTTCTTGGTGATGTGGAGGTTAAATGATGTGGGTAGCTTCTGAAAAGCAATAGGGCATCGTGGTACCACGCAGTCTGTAAAGAGAGAATTGTATACACTTTCTGTACTCTTCTTCAAACTGGTTCTTGTTATTGATAAAGCAGGGAGATTTTGTTCAATAATTTGTACCATGCAAAATTGTGATGATTTTAAATGCCATTTTTGTCTTTTACAGGGCAAAATTTCAAATGAAACATCTAGTAAAGAAGTGAAGTTGTAAGGACTGAGTCCTCATATTTTTGTTGTGAAGTTAAATTTTGAGTCCATATTTAAGCATGCCTTAGGAATAAGAACAAGGAAGTAAAATTTTCTCATACTGTAAAAGCCAGAAGCAGTCCAGCCATTAGGAATGCCATGCCTCTACATGGTACACAGAAGTTTTTTAGCAGAGAGGGAAAAAGAAAATATCATTCCAAATAGCTGACTTGCAATCTAGCTCCCAACATAAAATCACAAGGCTTCATTCCTCATTCTGCTTTTTTTACCTTGGTCTGAGCACTTATTCTTTCTGCTTGGATTCCCACTGATGATATTAGTTCTTAGTTTGGCTGCCAGGGTGTTAAAGACCAGGATTTGTAATTTGTTATTTTAAATATAAGATGGCAATCTTACCACCACTCATACTTTTCAAGAGCTGGAATTATTTTCTCCTGAAGTGCTTTTTTTGGTTTTTGTTCTCAAACTTTTGTTGTTCTCCAGGACCAATACAAAGAGCACCTGTGTTCTCTTCCTTAAAAATTAGTAAGGTGTAACTGTAATGCACATTTTTTTCTGGAGTTCTCTTTTAAAGATGCAGACAGAAAACAAAGCAGTAATAGACAGTTCCATCTAAAAGCTCCTAACAGGAGTCACCTTCAATTATCTGATTCCAAATATATGAAATTCTCCTTGTCTTCAAATTTCTTTGCGATGGATGCAGAATATCTTCCTGAAACCCTGTATTTCATCAGACTGCTCCATACAGAAATATTTCTGAAAAAAGTAATTACTATTTCATTTTCAACAACCTTAAATGATAAAAGATAAAATACTGTTAACAAAGGAATGGGCTTACATGCACATACCAAAATGCAAGTATAAATTACAGTTTAAAATGGTTTTGTTCTCTGAAGCAGTTTACAAGTTTGGGGGTTTTTGTTGATTTAGGAAAGTGCTCTGGAAGAGCAGAAGAGAATTGCAAGATCTCAAGCCATAACTGAGCCTCCTCATCCTGCTAACACCAGAGACCAAAGCAGTGATCTCATTTGTGCCCTTCGCTTTTGCTGCCTGTAGCTGGGACAAGGGAGAGAATTGGTTTGGTTTTTTAGATTGGATTCATTGAAAATGATGACGCAACAGACCATAACTTAGTGTCGCATGCAGAACTGTCTGAGGCCTGCTTTGGTTTGGAGCAGTGCAGCTCTTTGGGCCCTTGGAAGCTGCTGTTCCTTCAAGTGGCTCTGCTCTTCTGGCTGCCGTAGCAGGAGCACAATGGAGACATTCAGTTTTAATTTTTTTTCCAGAAATACATTGCATTGTTGAGAGTTTCTGGCCATTGGGGAGGTCCAGATCCATATGGGAGTTATGGAAGACTTTTGAGGTTCAGCTGTGAATCCACCCTTGCTACCAGCAAAGTTGCTACTGATGCCATTGGAGCCAAGGAACAATGCCTGGGCAGGAGGAGTGGAGTGTGCATGTAAGTCCCAGTCTGAAGCTTTGCTTCCCTTCATTTCTAATTGTCTGCTGCCTTCTTTTAAGACAGGTAACCTTAGATCAGAGGGAAAAAGGGGATTATTTTTAAGCATGATGAAATTTAACTTATAATTGCTGTTTCCAGAGCAGCCAATTGAGAGGTAAGAGCATAGCTTTCCCAGGCAGCCCATAATCTCTAGGATTTACAGATGCTGAAAATGAGCAGGAAATCAGGGCAGCAGTGACCTACCTGGAGTGCAAGTACAACATACACTCACAGATCTCCATGCTAAAGACACAACATTCTTAGCAAATTTTGTCTCTCCTGTGCAACTTTGAAAAATCTCATGGTTTGATGTTTGTGCCATGTTTCACCTAGTATTCATCACTTGGTGAAATAACACCTGCATTGCATTTAATGTCAGTTTTGGTATCCCTCTGCTTGAGACAGGGTGCCATAATAGATTCCATTGCTGGCAAATTTCAGCAGAGAAACAGTAACTTACTCATTGACTGCTTCCCATGATGGTTCATGTTCCTGTAAAATCAGCTACTTAGAAAAATGCCCAGTATTCATTTTAGCTTGCTCTGTCCCTTGAAACTGCTAAGACAGCCCCTGTAAAAAGCAGCACTTCATCAGATGTCCAGTGCTATGGTGTGTGCTGCAATGCACGTTTTGGGAGCCAGCACCAATTTACGTTTGTCCTTCATTTAAAGCCCCTCTATGGTGGCTGGCTAAATTCCTTCAATTCTAGGAAGCAATTTGGTTTTCCTACAGGACACAAGGTAAGCAGAAAGTGTGCTGTCATGCATATGGTACCTTTTGAGAGCCTGCCCTCTCACAAAATGTGCCGTGGTAGAGAGCTGGGTCCCTGCCCCACCCTTGGCTCCTTGGAGGCAGCGAACACCCCAGCCCTGAGCACGGCACTGCTGCTGCTCTCCCCTGGCCTCTGTTTGCACCTTGGCTGCTCCAGGCCAAGTCTGACCTGTGTGTGTTGGCCAAGACTATTGTTTCAGAGCTGCTCCGGTGCAAGTGTAAGGGTTTCTGTCCTCGAGCTTTGGTAGTGTTAATCATATTCCTATGTACTGCTCAGAATGATCGCTGAGGAAGTCTTAAAATCCATGCCCCACACAGAATGCTCTGAAAAAAGTGTTTGTTGTTGTCATTCTGTTCACCAACTGCTTTTCGGGATTTGTGTAATCAACAAATATCTAAATGAAGTACTGGCAATCTTCTCTGTGTAATCCCAAAGAAAACATGAAAGAGGAAGTTATACAAGGCTTTAGATGATGTCTCTTTCATGATATCAGGGAATCTTTTTTGTTCCACTTTAGACATTTTTTATTTTTTTGTTTGTTTTGTATAGAAGACTCCTAGCCCACTAGGGAGAGTTTAGCCTTTCTCTAGAAAAAAGGTTTATCTGTCAAATATCAGTTTGTTCCTTCCTCACCTGCTACTAATTTTAACATACCCCTCACTTAAGCAGCAATAAAGCTTCTTTAAGTGACTGTCCGTGGGCTGTGTGAGTGTGGCCATGTCCAAGAGCTGGGGCAGGGAGCTTGGCCATTCAGGTTTGTGCCTGGTGGGGGTGTCTGGGTGCTCTTGGCCCCTTTTTCCCTGCTAGAGGGCAGGATATTCTGGGGGGACGTCTCCAGTTCAAGGTTCCCTCCTGACAGTTCCCAGGTATTCTTCCATGGAGTGCTGCTGGGGCTCCACCTCCCCTTGTGGCCCTGTGGCCAGTCTTACCCAGCTGCTCTTGGTGTTGAGGAGGTGTTATTGCACAATATTGTTATTTTCCTAATTGATAGAAAATAGTTAATGTATTAATTCTGTGTAATTTAACCAGTGTATGTATTAAAAACTCCCAACAGAAGCACACGTGTCTAGGACAGCTCAGTTGAAGGCAGTTGTCTTGGGAGGAAAAGGCTGTTTGTAAATTAGACTTGGTCCAGAGGTGTCATTTTGTGCTCTGAATTAGTGGGACAGCAAAACTCTTTGTATCAGCTCTCCTTGCCTGAGAAAAGCTTTTGTGAACTGTTGTAGTCCCTTAAAACTCCTGTAGATGGAAAAATTCCAGTGAGAATTTTAAAATGGTATTTGAAAATAAATATAGGGTATATAAAAATACTGAATAAGCAGCTGAGCAGTAGAAAACTCCAAGAAAAATTGCTATTGTGTAAAGATATATAGTTGCAACAGTAGACTGATATCCAATAATTTACTACTAAGTTCCAAAAACCAGATGACTGCAAAGTGTTTGCTAAACCATTCTTTTTCATCTGACATGTGGTTGGATTATGTGAACTGACTCACCATTTAAATGGGGCTACTGAGATTGGTGTGTTATTGATTCAGACAATCCTTGACCCCAGGGATAACACTTGCTGTAACAGAGGAAACTGGCTTTTAGTGTCCTACTCTCTCTGCATCTATGTTATTTGACAATACTGAAAACAAAAATATTAGGGAAGCAAAGAATGAGTTAATACTGGCAAATTCAAGCAGCTTGTTTGATGAAATAGTGCTGGTGCTCTCCAGTAGAAAAATGGAGAGGTGCTGAGACTAGTTCTTTGGATTCAAATTGTTTTCAAGAAAGCTATCAATGGGCACTTGCCTGGCTGCCTTCAGAACCATTTTTTTCCCAGAGAAATCTTGAAATAACAAATAAGTAATACAGCAGACTGATGATCACAGTCTTAATTAACTGAAAACTTGCACTTTAAGGGTATAATTCTTAGGCCTGTTTGTCTACTTTTTCAATCTGTCATTCATCAATCTCCAGACATTGAGCAGGTAGCCTGGCACTTGCCCAATAGGTACTGGATGATGCTGCAGCTGCTGAACAAGTACTTCATCAAAAATTATTCTTTGGCTTTTTATCAGCTTTTTCAAATCCTAGGTTGCAAATCAGTTGCTTCCTTTTTAGTTACACAGAAACAAAATGAGATGCACCTGAATACTTTTAAAAATAATTACTTCTAATACTATTTACCAAGGGAAACATTCATCCATCCTCACGTCTTTCTCTGTAGACTATAGCCCTCAGTCCTTTATTACTCTTTCATATGCAAACACTATGTCTGTGTTATAATCACTGAGCATAAGTCAGATAAAAGCAAAATCTGATGTATTAACAATGAAAATGTTCTTCTGAATAAAAACATGGATTACCATGGAATTTTTGCTAGGATTATGCTAAGAGCCTCAGAACTTGTCTCTGAAAGACTTATTCTTCTAATCAAAGTGAACATCCCATTTTTCTATGCCTTTTTCCCAAGCAGGTTGACAAATGATCTCTTCATATGTACAGCTTTTCCTAGGCACAAAATTTCACTAAAATCATTTGGGGAGAGGGCAATTGGAAATATCTTATGGATGATCTTCCTTTAGTCTCTCCAGTGCTATTGAAACAATATGCAGAGTGGGTTGGTCCTTGGGAGCCTGAAATCTCCCACTCTGAGTGGTGTTGTGAAAACAAACCTCTTTTTGAGTGGGAGTATCTGCAGAGAGCAGCTGATGTGGGCTCTCCTTGCAGAGCACCGGCTGCCGTGCTCACACTACGGGGCTGTAGGTTCCGTGGTGGGAGGGAGTCAAATGTGGATCCCGGTGGGATGTGTGTGTGTGCTAGGCTTTGGAGATATGTCTCTTGGAGTTTCAGACAGCCCTGAGCCATTTGCTGACCTTTTGAAGGATTCCTAAAGCTGTTAGTCAGAAAGCATTAGTGTTAGATGCTGACAGTTCTGAATGGGTTACATACAATATGTTTCCTTTGCGTTTACATGCTTAGATGATGCTTTACCAGTGCCAAGTGGTGGCAGACAAAAAGTTATCAAAAATGGGTATGGACATGGATAGAGGGAAATGCTATGTGTGCAGAAATTCTGCTTTCTCTCAGGACACAGGACTACTGTTCAGTGTCACTGAAGTGCTGGTAAATGTGTAAAACAACAGCCCTTCCCATGCCCACAAAATGGAATGGCAGTGTCCTTCTGCCATCTGTGACTCAAGTTAAAGCACAGTCAGCACAGGTTCAGTGCCTTTTTCCTAGTAGTAAAAAAATCCAGTAAAGTCTTCACAATTATTCCTAGATGGATCAATGTAGCATAACATAGTAGTGCACAGATCAGATGAGTCACATTGAAGCTGACTCCATGCTGACAGTGAATTGCTTTCACTTCAGCAAATTCTTGAAGCACCTCATTTCCTATGAGCTAGATTATTTTTTCATAAATTGTGGACAACAAATAAGATGAGTTTTAGCCTTTGCCTTTGTTGCGGAATGTGGCAAGCTGATCTGTGAGTAATGGAGCCAAAAAGAGCAATCTGTTCCAGAGCTTCCACAAAGTTTTCCATTGTTTGGGGAACGAATCAGTCCATTCTCTACATGAAAGGGAAAGTCACGCTTAGGAACTTGATTTGTTGCAATGATCTTCTTTAATGTATTGCACTGCTGGTGACATTCTCGCTGATATTGGGGCCCTTTGTGTGCTTTGTATCAGTTTTATTTTCTTGCCAGGAAATTGGCTTCCTTACATATATAGGTGTTTCAATCTTGGGTCTGTCGAGCCCGGAAGTGTGCCTGCTAACATGCTCCTGACCTGAATGCATTCACAGTGGCACGGAACCAAGGTATGAAAGCTGGCATTCAGGATTTTACCCCATCTTCCTATTGCAGAGTTAAGTTTCTTCTTAAAATTAACTCCAGTTGTAGGCATAAAAAGTCATTTGAGAGCTCAGAGTGGCATTTGGAAGGGCATGGCTTTTGCCACGCTCAGGTGGTTGCTAGATTGGAGCTGGTTCAATGTTTCTTCTATACTGAGACAGGACTAAGAGAAAAATGTAACTTGAATTCACATGATTTGGTGAGTGCTAACCTGGATGTCCACGCCTCCCCAAGAAGAAAGAACAGATTTTACAGGGAATTCCTACCTGGGCCATCTAAGTCTAAAATAAGTAATGGGTGTCAGTATTAAGAAACTTTTAACAAGAAGAAGGAAAATGGA